CGGATTCATGCCTTTGAGGAAGGTCCCGTTTGAACGCTCACATCGGTTTTTTTTTCGTTTGGGGGAAAACTAAAACTGGTCGCAATTTTCGAATAAGAATGAGTCGGCAATTTTTAGTGGAGTCGAAAATTTGGAGGTAAATAAAACACCGAAACCCGGCAAATAAATAGGCGGTCAAATTTTTAGAGGGGTCGAAATTTTGGAGTTTTCACGGTGCTAATTATTCCATTTCAATGAAACTTAGTACAAAGATGCTCTAGGACAATGTACAAACCTAATTAGTTTGGGGTAAAAATCTGTTCATATTAATTCCCTAATAAGCATAATAATTCATAATTTTTTGGTTCTAATCACATTTCAATTAAACTTGGAGACATAGATTTTCTGTTACATTGCGCAGACCTCATTAGTTTTACACTCAAATCTGGTCATATTAATTTTCTGATTTGCATAATTAGTTTTCAGCTAAGTAATTTCGAATTATATTTAATGTGTCTCCAATACTCTCAGCACATGGGAGTTCTTTCTAAGCTTTCTTTGATTTTCATTTGTTCTGTTTATATATTTTATCACAGTTTGATGATACATTTATAATTTTTGTAAATTGTTGTAAGTTATCTAATTCATAAAAATTTGCAAATTTTCTTTGCCATATTTGTCACATAGTGTTTTTTGAGATGAGTTTACAGGAAATAACATTTTTTTTTTGTATCCTATAGTTTTGTAAATTACCCAGTCATATTTAGCTCAAACTAAGTGTACTCCATCAATGTACTGGTAAAGAAAAAATGTAAAATCTGTTTTTTGAGTATTTGGCAACAGACACAAGAATTTTCTGGGTACCATTACAATTAGCATATTTGGTGGGAGATAATAGCCTAGCATAAGCAAGTTAATTATCTGCCTCATATATACTAATTTTTTAGATTGGCTAGGCAGCGAAATTTAAGCCCAGTGAAAATTAGTCATTTTACAGTATTTGAAGTTAGTACAACTTGAATGAAAACTTCTTACCTTTATTTTATAATTCAATGCATATGATTAGTTTGATTAAAATGAAGTAATCACTAATTGGACATTAGGTAATAGATCATTCACACAGTTAAAATGAAGTAATCACTAATTGGACATTGGCCATTAGGTAATAGATCATTCACACAGTTAAAATCCACTATGCATTACCATATAAATTGAATTCATTTATACTCATTCACGTGTGTATTGTATACTTTAATGGTGCTTCTACTGTGATTCTTTAGAACACATCTCACGACTTTTGTTTTGTTTTGATCGCTTTCCATTGTCATCATCGACCTCCAAATAATATTCATGATACATAAATTGTGGTGTAATACCTACATTTATGTATATCTACATGTACATGTACATACATTGTAGTTTGTTCTCACAACTACTCACTAGTCACTACTTCAATTGCAGTTGAAAACCCAGGATTTCAACATATAGTACGCCCACTTCTCTGAAATAAATAGCATACCATAAATGAAGATGGAGTAAAAACAACAATTGTTCTTCATTTCCTAAATGTGGAGAAACTTAAAACTTTTCATTATTTTTCCACAGTGTTGATTATATTTGTACTGACTAAGTGCTAAATAAAATTGAGGATAAATACCAGAAACTATTAAATGATGATAAATACTACATACATTGTACTATTATATTTATCTTAACAATATGCTGCACAGATTAGAGTAAGCGATAAAATGCAAAACATATTCTTGTTTCCATGGCAACATATCTCTCTTGAGCACCCATGTTGTATTGACTGATTGACATATGGTTGACTGAAAAGCAATAGGAATTTCAAGAAGTTTGGTAACAGAAAGAATGATGTTTTGTTACCGAAGGTATAATATCAATGATTTTTGTTTCCATACTTTCATTGTTCTCAGATTTACAAAGTAAGTGCATTGAAAAAGCAATTCAATTCACATTGTATATGTGGTATTGAAGTGGTATTTGAAAGCACAATCTTAGGAGATAACAGCCAGACGTTAGTCAAGCACCCAGGAGACCACTTATGTGTAGTGACTTTCACAAAATCTATGCAATATATCCTTGAAATATTAAAATAGCAGAGCAAAAAAATACAAGATATTAGTAACCTATAAACTGTGTTGTGAATTTTAAGTCATTAAGCCAACCGAAAAAAGTTAACTTTTTTGTCTAGAGTCAAATACTCCTATCATTAGAATTGAAGCGATATGCTTCTAAACCTGAAGTTTTAGGAGAAAAATTGATTTTATGTATGGAATAATCAAATAAAACATATGTAATGCAACCATATATACAGAGGATTTCTCATTTAATAGTGGTCCTATAATTTGTAGCTCTGTTGTCGACTTTGTCGAGCGGAGCTTATCATATAAGTCTGTCGTCTGTGTCAACTTTTTAGCTCCGCTGTCGACTTTCTCGAGCGGAGCTTATCATATGAGTGTTTGTCCGTCGTTGTCCGTTGTCCGTGTCAATGTTTTACTTTTTCGTCTACAAGTCTAAATGCTTTGATATTTGGTGTATATCTACCTTGGGTAGACCTCTCTCAGATTTGTTTATTTTGTGATGATATCTTCAATTCACTAATTTTGGTGAATATTTTTGGCATTTTTGGTAAAAAGTGGTATTTTCGACTTCTTGTTAAAAAAACGCAAGTCTGATTACTTTGATATCACATATATAGATACTACATGTGGACCTCTCTCAGATTTGTTCATTTCGTGATGATATCTTTAATCCTCTAATTTTGATTAAATATTTTTGTTATATTTGGTAAAAAGTGATATTTTCAACTTCTTGTTGAAAACCGCAAGTCCAATTGCTGTGATATTACATATATAGGTACCTCAGGTAGACCTCTCTCAGATTTGTTAATTTTGTGATAATATCTTTAATTCTCTAATTTTGATGAATATTTTTGTCATTTTCGGTAAAATGTAATATTTTCAAATTCTTTGAAAAGTCTGATTGCTTTGATACTATAAATATAGGTAGACCTCTCACAGATTTGATCATTATCATAATATATTCAGTTCTTTAATTGAAATGTGCATTGCTAACAGCGGAGCTATCATACAAAGAGTCATTACTCTATGGAATCATACAAAGAGTCATCACTCTATGCAATCATACAAAGAGTCATCACTCTATGCAATCATACAAAGAGTCATCACTCTATGCAATCATACAAAGAGTCATTACTCTATGGAATCACACAAAGAGTCATTATTCTATGCAATCATACAAAGAGTCATTACTCATTCATGTGTGGGACCCATACAAACAGGCATGGTGTATTGACCACCATGTTTGGGACCCATACAAACTGGTGTGGGGCGCTGACCACCATGTTTGGGACCCATACAAACAGATATGGTGCATAGACCACCATGTGCAGGACCCATACAAACAGGCATGGTGCATAGACCACCATGTGCAGGACCCATACAAACAGGCATGGTGCATTGGCCACCATATGCAGGACCATACAAACAGATATGGTGCATAGACCACCATGTGTAGGACCCATACAAACAGGCTTGGTGCATTGACTACCACATGTGGGACCCATACAAACAGGAATGGTGCATTGACCACCATGTGTGGGACCCATACAAACAGGCATGGTGCATTGACCACCATGTGTAGGATCCATACAAACAGATATGGTGCATTGACCACCACATGCGGGACCCATACAAACAGGCATGTTGCATTGACCACCACATGCAGGACCCATACAAACAGGCATGTTGCATTGACCACCACATGCTGAACCCATTCAAACAGGCATGGTGCATTGACCACCACATGCGGGACCCATACAAACAGGCATGGTGCATTGACCACCACATGCAGGACCCATACAAACAGGCATGTTGCATAGACCACCACATGCTGGACCCATACAAACAGGCATGGTGCATTGACCACCACATGCGGGACCCATACAAACAGGCATGGTGCATTGACCACCAAGTAAAATTTTGCTCAATGTTAAATAGTGATCTGTATGTTGTTTGCTTGTTTGTCTTGCAGTTAATTATAACTGGAATTATTGGTTTATATTTCTGTGCAACAACGCTAGAAGCATATTCAGGCAGTATAAAAGCTTTTCTTGTAAAGGTGAGTTGGTAACATTTTTTTTCAGCATAATATCAAGATATACATTTCAACAATCACCACAGCTCAGATAGACCCAGGAAGCCTTTTGTAATATCTATATTATTATATTAGCAGTGTGATTCAAGTTCTGCTTTTGGATTATTTGGGTACAATCTACGATGTAGTAAACAAATGTTATCTCATCAGAGTGT